GTAAAACAGTTTATATATGTTCTCAAAGTAATTTTAAAATCTTTAAAACAAGTCTATATGAGGACAGTAACTATAGGAAGCATCAATAACAAAGAAAGAATACAATCAGAAGGCAAAAGCATAATAGTTATTAACAGTGGTTTTTGTAATATTTCACTTTCTAATCCTAAATGCATGATTTCATTTAAAAATTATACTTTCACAAATTCGAATGAAGGACACAGAACTTTACTGTGAAGGGCATAAATCAATAGGACATGAGGGTCAGTTAACTAAATTCAGTTTTCCAGGGGGAGAAATAATGAGGGCTTGATTCCTGGAGACAACAACAATGAAGACTACCATTTTGTTGAGTGCTAACCCTGTGCTAAGCCCTCACTCAAAGAGGAAGAGGAAGAAAGGCAGAGGGAGGTAGGGGGAAGAAGAAAGGAGGATGGGGAGAGCAGGCAAGGGAGGGTAAGGAAAGGGAAGGCCAAGAGAGGAGTGGTAGCTAACATGCACAGAGTGCCTTAACAGTTTCGCAGGAATTGTTTCATTTAATCCCATAAACCTACAAAACAGGCACTAGAAACAATCTTTAGAGAGGTTAAGTAACTTGCCCGAGGCCATGCAAATTTATTAACTGGCAGAGGATTCAAACTTAGTTCTTTTTTTTTTTTTTTTTTAAGATTTTATTTATTTGACAGAGAGAGGCACAGGGAGAGAGGGAACACAAGCAGGGGGAGTGGGAGAGGGAGAAGCAGGCTTCCTGCCGAGCAGAGAGCCCGACGTGGGGCTCGATCCCAGGACCCTGGGACCATAACCCGAGCCAAAGGCAGATGCTTAACGACTGAGCCACCGAGGTGCCCCTCAAACCTAGTTCTTAACCAGAAAGTTATTATTAAGGGAGCAACTGTTCAGATTAGGGCAGCGAAAGGACAGGGAAGAAATATGATGGTCTGGTGTCTAAATGACAGAATCAGTAGTGATAAGAAGTATGGATTTGAGTGGGGACGGGAGGTGAATAAAAAGAGTAGATAGTAATTCTTTGGTTTTTGCATTTCTGAGGTAATATCCAAGACACTCTAAGCAAAGAAAGTTGGAATATTTCCATTACACTAAATCAATTTCACATTGTAAAGGAGTTGAACCCTAAAGGTCAATAACAACATTTAAAAGACTAGCTGACATTCCTTTTACTTAAATCTGATTTCTGGGAAAGTAAAATGAAACACGAAAAGATAAAAAAAAACAAAAACAAAAAACACTTTCCTTTTTTTTTCCCATCAAGGTGATTCTTTAAGTTTGGTAACTTTAGAAAGGTCCATGTTTGCCTCAGTTTGATAAAATAAAGTTTAGCAATGGGGAATAGCTTTAACCAGTATCTTCATAAATTCTTACACCAAAGGAAACCTTTCAGGACCCAGCAGCGTGTTTCACTAACTGGCTTATGGACAGTCATGCCATGTTCACTTTCAGAGAGATGTGGAGAGTCGGTCTGGCTGGTGATATTCCTATGCCAATGCTTTCTTCTTCTAGATACACACCTGATTAAAGGCTACAGGATCAAAGAGCAAACCACTTACAGCAAAGTGCTACAGACCCGAAAGCTCATCTGTGAATGGAATCACTTAAAAGTATTTTAAAGGGTCATCACAAAGAGGGTGCTTATTTTTAGAAATGAGTTTTCTTTTGATACAAAGAAAAATGTTGGCCATTTCCCTTATGTTTATAACAACATTCCAATTTAATCTTCAGTTTAAAAATTCTTTAATTATTGCACAACAGTGTTTTGTTGATTGCATAACACTCACATCTCTATTTGATACTAAAATCTAGACTTTTCTCCATGTGTGAGCACATGCGCATGCACATTCTTTTGCTTTATAGTAATGATATATGTTAAAGCTATGGTTTATAAATTTAATTCTGCTCTCAGGGGAAAGCTATAAACATGAATGATGGAAAAAATATCTGTTATAAAAACATTATATTTCAATTTATTTCATTATGACTTACCCAAATCTTTTTCGGTAACAGCAGTGGGGCTGGAAAAGAGCATGGTATTGTGCAGGTAGGTATCTATTCTAAAAGCTTATTCCTCTGAATTCCATGTCCCTATTCTCTACCATTTAAAGTCATTGACATGTATATAGATGTAAGGTCTTCAAGTAAAAGTAACCAATAGGTGTTGGAATTATTCTTAGGGTGATGATTAGAATCTGGTACAGAAAAAGGACTTCCAATCTAAATTTCCTTTGTTGGTTATCATAACTATCACTGAAAAAGCTGGAAGAACATACGCCAAAACACACAACCACATGTTTTTTTTGTCCAGTCATACATAAGAATCCAGCATAATTATTCTTGAATTAAAATCAAAAGCAAGTTTATAAGAAGAGATCTATATCCTTTTAAATACTGAGATTTCATCTATTATTCAGTTGATAAAAATCATTGTATTTACTTCACTTTTGTTTATAGTGAAATTAAAAGTTAAAAGACAAAAAAAGTCCTACCCATCTCTATAAATTATGTGAAAGAAAACACTGCAAACCACTGTATACCTTTATGAGCCTTTGGCATTTCTATTCTGAGCAAATATATTGTTCTAATGTAGTATAACTTTTTAATTTTCCTTGTCTTATACTATTTTATAAAATTGGAGTGACCTTTTAAAAACAAACAAGCAAACAAACAAAAAACAAAAGAAGCTTTTCTGCTCCTAGAAGACAGAACCAAAAAAACATTGGGCAAATTTAAACACACACACACACACACATTAGCTTTGCTTCTCTACAATTTAGTCATTATAGTAGAATATAAGTTTCAAACACACAAAACCTCGAGTCTCCTGGTGCATCTTGTGTTACCATCTCTTATTCCACTGGCATTCCTATGTTAGAGCAGAGTGTTCTTAGGATAATTTAGCTTAAAAAAAAAAAAAAGCTACAGTTCTTCCTTGTTGTCTATTCAAATATCCAGAGATGCCAAAGAGAGTTCTTTCCCCCTTTTTTTCCCCTTGAATGCTCTAGAAGAGAGCAAACCATTTCAGTAATTTTTTTTAACTTTGATGAGTGATGTTTCACTTAAATGTTCATTCTATTTTCTGATAAGAGAATGCAGCATCTTATAAAAGTGATAATTTTGTCAGTATGGGATTATACTTTTTTTGTTTTTACTTTATAGTCAATTATTCTTCCCAGAGTTCTGTAAGTCACTCATATCATATAAGAAAAGTTTACCAGATGATCACATGGTAAACCTGAAGAATAATGTTCAACTTACATGGTTGTCTTGAGACTCACTTGAAAGAATGTGCATGATTGTTAAGTAAAGGTGAAAATATGAAGCAAAAATGAGGCATTTTTATTGATTGTTGGTGAAAACTCATTTGAGACCTACAGATCTCAGGCCCCAAGTCCCATGACAAGGGAGTTCTTACTAAATAACCAAGAATGTTTTCTAATCATGTCATCTCTTAAAACATAAGGCATACTGGTTGTGTAGAGCTCTGGACGATTTCTGAATCAATGAGACAATCCACACTCCACCCGATATTTTCTAGGACTAGTTACACTAACTTGTCAGCAGAAATTTAATTTTTTAAATAAAATTGATAAATAAAGTTCTAATACTTGTTTGTCACAGCTTCTTAAGTTTTGTTCCTATCATGTAGTGTTTACACTGATACCTGCACATATGGCAGCAAAGTATTGACCTTTGAATATACCGAGATAAAACTTCTGATCTACCATTATAGGATTCATGCTTTATGCTTTGTTTGTTTTGTTTTTAAAGGCTGTGATGGTTTTAAGCTGATCTATCTGCACTCTTTTCAGGTCTCCTCACATCCAATGGCATGTACTTAGGAAATAGCTGGCAAAGGTTCAAGGTGCAATCTGTGGCTAAGAATGGAGAAACACTAACTGGCTTATGGACAGATGGACCAACAGCTCTGGCCTGATTAGCTAACTGAACAAAGACACAAAGCTAATCACGTGCTTCCTCTCTATGCAGACCATTTGTCTTTAAAATCAAGTGAAAATTTGCATACTCCCTAAGGACAGCAACCAGAGAGACTCACAGCAATGCCCCCTCTACTAGGCTGCTGCTTTCTATTTCCCAAATATTACCTGTGTACCCAGATGAATGAATGGTTAGTGAAGGAGTAAATCTCTACAGTATCTATTATCATGCCTACTGTTTGGGGAGTACAAAGATGAACATATAGCATGGCTACTGTGCTTAAAGGGCAATAGAGAAGGCAAGAAAAAATGGCCACAAATAAATGTAATCCAGTAGCATTCTATTCTCCTAGGAGAGCTGCCAGGTTTGAAGGCCTGATTAAATAGGACTTTCTGTGATCCAATTTTTTCTCCATGCCACTCTGAATAAGCTATGCCTCCGGCTTCCAACACCTGGGTTCTAGTGCTGATCAACATGGAATCTTAGATGTATACCTTTAAGCAATCAGACTCACATGTATACACACACTTAGCTTATTCACCTGGAATTGTGCCTAAGTGCCCATGGTGTTTCCCAGTTCAAAAGAGCAACTTCTCCTTACCCCTCAATTGTCCTCACAACGCTTAAAAACAAATGAATCAATCTGGCATTGTTCTCCCAATCCCATCAGACTAAATGGAAGTCAGCACAAAAGTCAGAGTTTCAGAACCAAAATAGGAGATGCCTTAGATTAATGTTATTTCTTGCAGATTTTAAGAGTCAAACAGTTTATTAAATACATGAGATGAAAAATTAACAAAGCATAACAGTGTTTGTGCTACCTCTCCAGAAAGTTAACACTTTTCCAGACGATGGCTTGATCTCTAAGGGAATTTAAAAAGCATGGGAGTAAATTATGCATGGAAACATACAAAACAGTTTAAAACCAGGCTATTTTCTAAGAATCTAATTAAAGCCTCATTGAAAATTTTAAACATTTCACTCTAGCAGATATTTTGGCCCTGGCCTTAATAACTTTTCTTACTGATGGTCTTTACTGCTCAGTATTTCACTTCTGACCTTTTTACTGTGGAGGTGAATCTGATTTGGGTTTTCAATTGCTCCTGTGTTAGCAGTGCCACTAGAACCAGAAAGATTTACTTTCCAAGTGACCTCTTTCGGATACTTGACGGTATTTGAAGATACCTGTATCCTTTGTCCACACATCCACCAGCTGGAAAAGAAAACAGTGGTCATATGTGAGGATCAACAGTAGGCTGGCAAACCTGAGTTCACAATATTGTAAATTTGAAAGTCAACAGTTCTGTATGCTGTCCAGCTATTTTCCTGACCACGGGGAAGTAGAGAGGAAGGAAAACATCTGAGATCATTAGTATATCTGTCTCTCTTTTTACTTCCATCATTACCAAGAAAGGGCCAAGGCCAAGGGAAAGATGAAGTTTTGAAACATTTCATAAATTGTAGCTAATGATGATTTTTGCAAGTCTTCAATTGACCTTAACCATTAAAAAAGTATCTTATAGCAATACTTCATAAGTCTAAGTGTTTTCACATCCAATAGGACTCACCGTATAGTATTATGTTTGTGTGTCTAAGACATCAACTGTATATTCATGAAAAAAGGGGATGTGGCAGTCTTTTTGTTTCTTATCTCCAATAACCAGGCATACAAAGCAGCTAATATTGCCATTAGGTTAGGAAATCAGAGAATAAGAAATACATGATTTTGTTCAAGACCACCTGATAATAACAGCATGAAATCAGGGTTTTGGGATAGGTACATTTATATATTTTTCTTCAACTTTTTTTCCCCATTATACCATTCCAAACAGGATTCATTCATTCATTCATTTGTTCCATTTATTCAATAATTTATCAAGGGCCTAATATGAGCCAGGCATTAGGGATTCAGTAATAAGTTATCATCCATAAACAAATGAAAATGACAGTCTATTTTTTTAATAAAGGATTTTTTTATTTATTTGAGAGAGAGAATGAGAGACAGAGAGCACGAGAGGGAAGAGGGTCAGAGGGAGAAGCAGACTCCCCGCTGAGCAGGGAGCCCGATGCGGGACTCGATCCCGGGACTCCAGGATCATGACCCGAGCCGAAGGCAGTCGCCCAACCAACTGAGCCACCCAGACGCCCCGAAAATGACAGTCTATTAATCAACTAATTATAAAATTAATAAGTGCAATTACACGTGGAGTAAATAAAACAAGACTATATCTAGACTAATCTAGGGGTAAGAAAAATTTTCCTACAGAGAGGAAATGTCAAGTTTTCCTTGATATTTGAGTTATGTTCTGGGGGATAAATAAAATACAAACTAGAAGTACATGTGTGCATGGGAAGTAGGGGTTGGAGAGAGAGAATGTTCATTTCTCGGCAGAGGGAACAACACTGCAAAAATCAAGGTATAGGAAGGACTGCTGCTCTTTAGAGCAGTATTTTTCAAATGTGGATACCAACTGGGGGATTATGAAATCAATTTATGGGACATAATAACTATTACATAGAATAATAAAAAAATTAGATATCACATTTACTAAGGGTAGGTATTGTTTTATAAAACTTCCATCAAATATATGTATTTATTTTTTTAGCATTGGGTCATGATGTAAAATATTTTTCTTACTCTGTAGCAGTCAAAATAGTTTGAAGCTACTGTTTTAAGGGACTGAGAAAAGGCCAGTGGGGCTTGAGAGTGACATAAAATGAGGCTGACACAGCAAGAAGATAGCAGATAATGAGAGCCACATTAAGGATTCAGTCTTTAGGCTAGAAACAATAGGGAGCCACTGAAGGATTTTTTTAATCAGGGGAGGAAAATGATCAGATTTAAACTTGAAAAGATTATTCTAACTCTATAATATGGAAAACAGGTGGGAATAGGGGGTCAGGGATAGTTATAGGGAGAGTAAGTCAGAAAATATTGTATTCGGGGGCACCTGGGTGGCTCAGTTGTTAAGCGTCTGCCTTAGGCTCAGGTCATGAGCCCGGGGGTCCTGGGATCGAGCCCCCCGCATCGGGCTCCCTGCTCTGCGGGAAGCCTGCTTCTCCCTCTCCCGCTCCCCCTGCTTGTGTTCCTCTCTCACTGTGTCTCTCTCTGTCAAATAAATAAAATCTTAAAAAAAAAAAAGAAAATATTGTATTCATTAAGGGATGGATGCTAGCCTGGGTAAGAATGGTGGCACAGTAGTAGATGGATTCAAAACACAGAATATAAGATAAATTCAAAGAATATAATTTGGCACTGAAAAATGGTAAAAGAATAAGAAACTTCCAAAGATGAAATAAATCACTGAAATAAGAAATTCCATGGAAGCTTAAGAGCAAATTAGATACAGTTGACGAGATCATTAACAAACTAGAAGAAAGAACTGAGGAAATTATGCAAAATGTAATGCAGCACAGGTGGCAGAGATCCAAAGTATGAAAGAGAGGGAGGTTTTGGGGGGAACTCAAAAACAAACAAAAACCTGATGAACCAGGAAGAATTATCCAAAGAGATAACTTTCCAGAACTAATGCAAGACAAAAGCCATTTTCAGAATCAGAAGACCAATGACTCCCAATCAGTATAAATAAAATTCACTTAGAAACATCATAGTGAAACTTCAGAACACTAATGAAAAGGAGATCCTAAAAACGACCTGAGGAAAGTCTCATTACAAGAGGAATGAATAAGAAAAAAGGCATTATTGTATAAAATAATGCCTAACTTATGAAGTTACAATAAAAAGAACAGAATGGACACAAATAACTGGGGAGGAAGATCACTGCAGTAAAAGTTTTCCTTATATTGTTAGAGAGGAGCAGAGATATTAATTTTAGGACATTAAGTTAAAAAAACACGTTAAGATTTCTAGGATGATCACTAAATAGAAATAGAACATTTAGTTGCTCAACCAGAAGATAGTAAAATCAAACCATAAGAAGGCAAGAAATAGGGGGTGGGGTAAAAAAAAAGCCAAAGTGGGACAGAAAGCTTGTAATGAGATGGTAGAAATAAACCCATATAGGTTAGTAATCATAATAAAAGGAAATGGATTTAACTCACCAGTTAATAGAAACAATTGTGAGACTGGTTCCAAAAACTCTACTAGATAAACGAGGCGTGGAAACACCATGTTCACCAATATTTGGTTGAATTACATATGGTATATTCAGACAACAAAATACCACAAAGCAGTGAAAAAGAATCAACGACAGCTAATACACCAACAGGAATATATCAACATCGATGAATCTCAGTGTTGGGAAAAGCAAGCAAGATTACTAAGTATGATTTCAATTAAATACACGTCAAAAACATGTTAAGTACACGTGTCCATAAAACCAGACAGAAAAGTGAAGGAATTATTAACACAAAAGTCATGGTAGTGGTTGCTTCTCAAGGGCAAAGAGGAAAATACAGTATGCCCACAAGCTTGTTAAAGTTACTAGGACCGTTGTATTTCTTAAGGTGAGTAGCAAGTAGGAATACTGGGTAAATGATCATTGGTTTTTCTTTCAACTTTTTTGTATTTTTTTATATTTTATATTTTAAAAAGCATAAAGACGTGCTTGTGAATGCATAGAAACTTTTTAAAAAATACACAAGAAACTATTTACTTAATGTAAGCCTCGTGAACTCTTGTACTTCACTGTGTTCCCAGTGCCTGTAAATGTTGCTGATACATGGGGGGTCTATTTATTGAATGGAAACAAATAAAAGAGCACAAAAAAGAAAATTAATCACTACATAATCTGTGCTCAACATCTTACTGGGGCAGTTTACCTGTTATCAAAACTTATGACTAAACCCAGAACCAGGTAATTTGTTTTTATGCAAATTTCAAAAATGCATCTTAATGATGAACAAGTGTAGATAATGTGTAAAAATAGCCATTATAGTTTTTTTTTCTGATTGATACTAGTAATCTATAGTGGCATCATCTTTCAAGTTCAAAGGGCAGCAATATGTGAAAAGTAAAAAGTGGTAGGAAAAGTGAACATTAATTATTCATATAATGGATAACCTTGAGGGAGCAAACCATAAATAGAAAAAAATCAAAGAGATGTTCATCAAGGTTTTGTCTGTCCAAATAGATTTTTTTTTTTTTGGTGGGGTCACTAGTATCCAATGATTATACTGGTAGAAAAAAACAGAGCATTTTTTACTCTAATTTGAAGATAATGGTGCCAAGAGACTTAAATAGTTTTGTGGATCAAGATCCTCCTTTACAACCTACTAACCATATACCACTTAACCCTTTGTAAATTTAAGGCAATAATGTTGGAAGAAGGAGCAGTGTGATATAATTGAAAAAGCCTGTTTTCAATTCATCACTTTAACGTTTAGTAGGTAGGACCTAGAGTAACCATCTGTTTCTTCATCAATAATATGCAAATATTAACACCCAAATTTCAGTGTTTCCAGGCAAAATGAGGCACTCAAATGTTAGCTTTCCTTCTTAAAATTCTCTAGATACATAAATGTGAAAATGCCTGACACACAGTAAATGCATAATATTAGCTTCCTATCTTTCCTCCTTGGTTTTTTTTTTTTTTTACTGGTCCATTAAAGCACATTAAATAACTGTTAGATTTGCTTTTAACTGCCATGTAATCACCTAGAAATCCTTGCCATTAATGTGGTTTGGTTGAACAATAGTTTTAAGATAAAAAGTCATTAACGATGCCTCTAAGAACTTTTTGCCTTTGGATCACTGGTGGGTAGGGAAACAGACAGTTTAACATACTTCCCATTTCTGTATAGCTTGAGTAACAGGTAATTTTATCTAGTTTTGTTTAACTATTTCTTATAGATCTGTACTTCTGATTCATGGAATTAGCTCTTGCACTCAAGGTAAGATGGACCTGTTCTGATCTAGTTACTGATATGCCCTTTTGGTACTTCCTCTATGAACCTTGACCATTTTGTACTACAGATGACCCTTTAAAGTTGGCATTTTCACAACACTGGCTAGAGAGTGCTGAATAAAAAATTAGCATTTGGCTTACCCTAACCAGCAACCCTCCCTTTACTTCAGCACCTTTGGGCTTGTTTAGAAGAACCAATACCATAATCCAGGGATCTGAAACCACAGTACATGGACCAAATCTGGCCTATATTCTCTAAACTTAACTGCAGGTTGAAGGTGACCTTATCAGATGCCAAATAAAAACCCAATATGCATGTATCTCCTACCCTTGCACCAGTCTTTTGAGTGCAGAAACAGAAATGTCTATTGTCTGACTAGGTTTTAGTTCAACAACCAAAGTGAAAATCAAACCACTTCTGTGTAAAGGAGACCCAACCAGAGCTTTATATATTTAAAGATCTTGGGTATCCAGTAAACCATGTGCGTGTGTGCATGCGTGTGTGCAATATTCAAGAAGTCATTTATAAAATTCAGCTTATACTCCTTTTTAGTCTCTGTAGCTGCCCAGTGAGTGACAAGGAGCCACTTTAAAAAGTTAAGAAACAGCAGCTTTATTTGTAGTAGCCCCAAACTGGAAACAACCATAATATCCTTAAAGGTACATGGTTAAACAATGTGGTACATCAATACCATGGAATAAGACTTAGCAATAAATGGGAAAAAACTACTGATATATATAAGAACTTGGATAGAAGTCAAGGGCTTTATAATGAGTAGAAAAAGTTAAACTCAAAAAGTCATGTTGTATAATTCCATTTCTAGAATATTCTACTGATGACAAATTATAGAGATGGAGGACAGATTAGTGGTTGCCAGGATTTAAAGCTGGTAGAGGTAGGTATGACCACGGAGGGAGGAGCACAAGGGAGAAGTTCATAATGATGATAGTTCTTTATCTTTTTTTCCCCCTGAACAAAAGGTCTCACATATTTACTACTGAACCAACCTACTAGTGCAGAAGTATAGTAACAGGAAAAATAATTTGCCCCATAAAAATGTCTATTGTTCAGGTAGTAGTGATGTTCACAGAGTGACAGTAGATGAGCACATGACCTTCATGTAGCATAAAGGAGAAAAAAAGAGTTTCTTATCTTGACTGTACTGAAGGCTACACAAATCTACACAACTGATAAAATGGCACAGAGGTATTTGCATACATTGTCCCTATGTCTATATCCTGGTTGTGATAATGTATTATAGTAACATAGATGGAAAAACTAGGGTAAACTAGTTCATGACACCTCTCTCTACTATTTTTGCAACTTCCTGTGAATCTACTATTCCAAAATGAAAAGTTAAAAAAACACACTTGGATATATGAGGAAATTCACAAGATAAAATGAAACACAGCCAATTTTATTCAAATTCCCCAAAATTTATACTCAATATGTTAATTGTTCCTAAAATGTAGGTCACCCTTTATATAATGGTTTTATTATTTCATCTTTATTTTATAGTTTTTTCATCTTGTCTTTATACAGTTCTTCAGTAGAAGCCAGAGTCCTGAGTTGCCCAGTTAGGAGCCTAAAACATACAAAGAGAGATGGACAAGGTGAGAAGAAAGTACTTTCTGAAAAAGTTAACTTAGAAAAAAGTGATACTAGCATTTCCTTTTAGTACTCCAACCCAAACCACTCTCAAAGATTTTAACAACCTCCGTATTTCTACATGTCAACTGTGCCACTTGGAACAAAAAAACACACATCAGAATACCATCTAAACCAGTTTTTGACCAATTATAAAGTTTAACAATGACAGTATCACCAATACTGCAACAAAAGTCAATACAAATTGATCCTCAAGCATACAGAAAAGAACATTATATAAAAGTTGTTTTAGGTTGAGTTATTCTGACTTGGTTGGAAAAGGCATAAACATAATTTCCCAATTCTTCCTCTCTCTTAAAATTGAAGAACTATTCAAAGGACACAAACCTTTTGCTAAAACTTCAATCACATGAGGTCTCTGAATGCACATCTATTTTAGGAAGCAGCTGTGCTTCCTAAAAATAAAAACTTCCTATCCTCCAGTTACACATAATCATAATGGCTAAAAAGCATTAAAGCTTGTTTGGGATTCCAAAATTACAAGGCCATTCAAGTTCCTTTAATATCTAATATGCATAATCTCTACCAAAAGGGGGGATATATTTTTTTGACACAGTTTTTAAAGATCAACACTAATAGATAATAAGACCAACATTTTTATAGAAGTATTTCTTCAGATTTAAAAAGAACACAATTTTTTCAGTTTCCTTAACACATATATCTAAGAAAAATTCTTCTCAGTTTAGTAATATATTTTTAAAAAAGTTTGTACCCCCAGTTAGAAATACAAAATCAGATATAACCAATATATTAGTATGTTCTCAAATAAAGTCCAGTAATAATTACGTTACATTATTGCTAAATTCCAGACAAAATAGAAAATGTGTGGTTCTTACCTCTGACCTACTATTCTGATTAAGTTTCTTCTCAATATTCATGGCCAACATCTGGCTTCTAAACGAAAGGCTTTTGGTCTTTTCAATCACTTGCTGATAAGGTGAAACTGCATTGTTACCCATAACCACATGACCCTAAAATGAGACCGAGGGAAATTGATCCTGTAATATTACAACTGGGTTTCCCAGGTAGGTCATGAGCATGACATCACAACACTACATGACTGCTGCACACACTATCATGCACTGTACAGAGATGACAATATTCACCCAGCAACAACAAACAAAAGGTGGCTGCTGTAGCTTCAACACAAAGCAAAAATTATTAACAGAATAGAATAAAATGTCCTAGTGAAAAGTTCTCAAAATAGTATTAAAGTAGTCAGCAATTTACAGATATAGCATAACTAATTTAATACTCACTAATTTGGAATCAATCTTGGCATCCAGCCTTGCATTTCTAATCAAATTTACAATCCACCTTTCAGCTTCTTCTGGAGTCATGTTCAGTTTGTCTGCCAACATGCTAATGAAAAAAGTAAAAACAATGTTAATGAAGTCTAAACACTTAGTTTCATACACACAATCTTTGAACCACACTCTGCACAGAGACTTTCAGATATTTACGGATATGGTATTTATGGATAAAAAATACCTTCTTTAAATACTATGACTCAGTAACTGCACTGTTCATATTTGTGCTATTACCTTGTACCACATGTGCATGACCTATCCCATTTCACCAACCAGTAACAGAGGAGAGGGAACATTTCACATTTACAGAAACCTCTGGCCTCTAGAATAGTACCTTACACTTAGCAGGTGCTCAATTAATAACAATCTAAGGGAGAAAAAGGTTTTATGATGCATAATGATTACACAAATTAAATCTATTACAAGGAACATCAGTGATAAGTATAATATAATGAAATAACCAAACCTTAGCATTAGTGTGCACGTTTGTGTTGTAAACTCTGAGGGCACTCTGGGAATTGCACATTATATAACCTAAGTGGCCACTGAATTTCCGAGGAAAGAGAAAGACACACATATACACAGAATGAGAGAGAGGAAGAGAGGGAAAGGAGCAAGGGAGATGACTGGGTTGAAAAAGAGGCGTTACAGGGCTTGCTTAATTGGAACTAACAAAAGCACCCCTTGGTAGTATGTAAATA